TTTATATACCAAGGCATTTACCGCTTTATTCTTATCAACAATGTTAGCTACAGAGCCAAAATTTGTTACCCACCCATTTAAGTTGCAGGGTGACCCTCGTTGCTCTCGAGGTGGAGGCACTGTCGTTCGATCAACATCGAATGCAATTTTCTATTTTATAATGACTTCCAAACGAAGAAAAGTGATGCAGGTGCGTTTAGATAGGGGAAGGACAGTTCGTCAGATAGCAGAGTCATATCTTCGATGATTGAGTTTGAATGTTATACACCACTTTGCATAAATATACTCCACCCATATGAGGTATGATGTCGGCCACGGTTGCGGTTTGTCACGATGGAAGTAGATTTCCGCGTTCGATCCACGAGTACAGTCGACGTGACCTTTTGATTCCCGCAGCTGGCTAAAGTATGTGGAAGCGTCAATCCTCTGTTCGTTCTCCAAGCTCCCAGTGCTCAGTGCCTCTTTTAGACCACAAACAGGACAAGAAAACCTTTTTATGGAGGATGTTGGCTCTAGAGCTTCTTCTAGTTGTTCTCCTTCGTCGACCCACTGCCGCTTCCTCACAGTGTTATCGTTGAGGACCCACTAATCATCTCCAATCATCATCAAGCTTCGGATTCCCTTTTGGAAAGTGGGAGAGGAGTGCAGATGACCACCCTTTTAGAGAGGTCATCGGCGGTGGGCATCGACCAAGCTTCCACCTTGCCGAGCTGTTCCAGTCCACGTACTATCATCAATTGATTATGCCGAGATAGTCGCCATTTCCCTGGTGGTTAGGTAATGATCTCCATCCACGGTGGAACGTAATACTTACAAATCCAACTTCATCGGTCGGTGCGACTCCGAGCGAAAAATCTCCTTTCTTGAATATGGCATACGCGGTAAGAGATGTCGTCTTCGTCGTATGTTTTCACCGACTTGGTACGGGCTTCCTTTGCACTCCATGCGAAATCGTGGAGCAAAACCGGGCTGTGGTGCAGGTCTTTCTGTCACGGTTGTAATGCACATGTCACACACACGTGATGATGAAATACCAACATCCATGCGAACGAAGTGGTGCGATCAAACACCTGGAAAAAACTTAAGCAAAAAACCAGTAGAAATACGATGAACAGTCTCTGACTCGTTTTCAGTGAGTAGAAGGATGAAGGATGAAGCCTCCGAGCGCTAATCAACGCCGAACCCCGTCTGAGGGGTGCGCATCCGACTTCCATTCAGAATCTTAATGGCCTTATGAATGCGTTCGTGGTCAAACAATGACTCGCTGTGGCGAGCCCAATGTACAAGTCAGTGCTTCGGTCCTTCCAGACGAATTTGGTACAAATGGGCCGAGCCGGAGGAATCGAGGCTTCGTTTGTCCAGGTGGATATTGATCCAAAACATGGACCCGTAACTATGCGCGTGCGATAGTGTGCTACTCGCCACTCCACCAGCTCCGCACCTTCACGATGAATATTGCTATTCAATGGTAAGATCGGTGAGTGACGTCACTGGGACTAATTTGACGTCGTCTCAGCGACTTCTCTACTCAATCTTACGAAACTAAATAGCTAGTATTTTGAAATCAGTCAACTCATACAATTCAGTTGATGGAATTGCAAAAAAAGCCGCAGTCAGCGTTTGAAGGCCTCATGCGTGAAATGGGTCCAAAGCTAGTGGTCTACACTAATAAAGATGTAAGTGAAGTTGGTCACATTTGTCATACACTCAAAAATGTTTACGAATGCGAACGTTTGGTAACGACTGAACTCTTAAGTGGAACCATTTTGCAATAACCTCGATAAAACTGCCTGCATCGAATATTAAAGAGATGGGTTTTTCGCATTGAAGGAGTCTTAATACTGCCTTCTCTACGGATACTACTTAACAATAACTACTAAAACGTTTTTTATGTTTTTGATACAACGTTCTGAAATAATAAGAAGGGGTTTGTTACTATCTGGACATGCACATTTACTGCCAGTTGATCAGTGGATTGTCCCCTTCCCGTTCGTTCATCTCTGAAGCCTTGCTGCTCTTCACTGTCACTACTGTGAATTTCGCTGAGACTGTGACAACTGTTTGATGTTATCCGAATCAAAATACTTTACCGTGTTACAGTAAGAATGTGTTGCTGTACAATAATGCAGCGGTGGCGAAGAAAACGGGAAGCCTGCAACGACTGCGAGTTGTAGGCTTTTTCTTGAACGTTAATGAACACAATTATGGGCAAACCTCCTAATGTTGAAGTTGTGTTGAAGAAAGGAGGGGGTTTCCCAACTACATTTTCACCCCGATTTGTGTAAAGACTTACATAGCACGATGCCGGTACAGATCGAAATCACAGTTTCGAAGTACCACTTCACTCCACATCACTCTTTTCACTCCCCAGAACTCACTCTGCTCCATTAACTCAACCACCAAGCTACAGCTATTGGGGTGCCCCAAAAGTTTTGGGAAAATTTTGGTCATGAATTTGGAACAACCATGTTGCGCAAGAAAGCGCCGAAGCAGAGAAACGGAAAAAAGGCAGGAAAAGAGCACTTTTGGTAGATCACCAAGACAATAGAACAGTATTGCACTTCATCTTTGGAAGCGAGCTATCATCATCTTAATTAAGTTCCACCGACACGACTACCGGTGGTCTCTGCTTCATTGCTATCATTCAGGCCGCTCAGCCACTCAAGCCCGGAATGAATTGCAGTCAACGACGGGCAGTACTGCACCTTCTCTCGCTAGCTGCTACAGTGAACGGTCGTCTCTCTAGAGGAGAGGTTCACTCCACGGAGCGGACGTCCACGTTCCAAGAAGACCAACATTGTCTTTTCCTTTCAAAGCAATCCTTCTCAAAGCTTGAGAGGAATAGAGAGGACGACCTCTGCTCCCCGTTCCACCATCTACGATATCCTACGCAGACGTCGCTTTCGCGCAGCACTTCCTGCAGTTATCCCCGCACCTTGACTGAGAGCGAGCGTCAAGTGCGGGTCGATGTGTGTCGGAAGCTACGACCGCAAGCAGACGGTGGCTTGGACGGGCTTCATCATCGCTCAATATGAGAAGTGGATTACTTATGAAAATCCACACAAGAAGTTGCAGTGGCTATTAATTGACATAAGGCAGAAGCCGTGCAAAGGTGGGGCACATGTCGAAAAGGAGATGATCTTGTTCTTCTTCTGCGCCTCCGNGGAACAACCATGTTGCGCAAGAAAGCGCCGAAGCAGAGCCACGGAAAAAAGGCAGGAAAAGGGCACTTTTGGTAGATCACCAAGACAAGAGAACAGTATTGCACTCCATCTTTGGAAGCGAGCTATCATCATCTTAATTAAGTT